TCTAGATATATTTAATTAGAAGAAGGCTAATAAGCTACTACTATACTACCTAGAGATAGACTACTAAATTAAGCTAGTTAAGAATAAGAAAGAGAAGATAATAGAGCCCCTATAAGAGCTACTATATAGTATATCTTATAGAGAACTACTAGTACTATAGAAGATATTAATAGAGTTACTTAAGAAAGATTTTATCTATATAAATAGCTTAGCTACTACTATACCTATACTATTTACCTATAAGCTAGAAGATAGATTATAATTCTATATTAATTACTATATACTAAATATAATTACTAAGAAGGACTATTACCTACTTTTATTAATTAATAAGACTCTAGAGTATATCTCTAAGGTAAAGTAGTTTACTAAGTTAGATATAATTATAATATTCTATAAGATCTATATTACCCCTAGAGATAAATAATTAATAATATTCTATATATACTTTAGCTTATTTAAATAGCTAGTTATCCTCTTTAATATAGTAAATACACTAAGTACCTTCTAAAGATATATTAATTAAATACTTTAGGACTTCCTAGATAAGTTTACCTCTATATATATTAATAATATACTAATCTTTACTAATAGATTATTAATAAAGTACTAGTAATATATTTACTAGGTGCTTAAATACCTAAGGAATACAGGCCTATAGCTAGATATTAATAAATATAAGTTTAAAGTAAAAAGTATAAAGTACCTTAGATTTATTATTAAAGTTAGTAAGGGTGTATAGATAGACCCTAATAAGATAAAAGCTATACTAGAATAGTAAGCTCCTACTTCTATATATAATATATAATTATTCCTTAGCTTTATAAACTTCTATTAATAGTTTATATAGAACTTCTTAGATATAGTATAACCCTTAATAGTATTAATGCATAAGGGGGCCCTCTTTATATAGGGAGATAAGTAAATAAAGGTCTTTAAGCTACTAAAGAAGATATTTACTATAGCCCTAATTCTTATATAGTTTAACCCTAATAGGAAGATAGTAGTTAAGACTAATACTTTAAACTAGGTAATAGGTGCTATAATATTATAATATAATAATAATAGTATATTAAGGCTAGTTACCTATATCTTAAAGAAGAATATACTAGTAGAATATAATTATAAGATCTATAATAAGGAGTTACTTACTATTATTAATATACTTAAGGAATAGGAATTAGAATTAATTAGCTTACTATAGTTTAAACTTATTATAGATTACTATAATCTTAAATACTTTAAGACTATCTATAGGCTTAATAAATACTAGATATATTAGTTATACTAGCTAAGTAGGTTCTACTATAAGATATACTATAGATCTAGGAAGCTAGCTGCTTACCCTAATATACTATTATAAAGAAAATAAGATATACTATAAGATATAGATAATAATAGGCTTAAAATATATAACTACTGCTTAGTACTATTAAAGATTATTACTAGCTAGATATATATAAAAGTATATTATACCTATAAAGTAGAGTCTAACCTAGATCTAAAGTCCCTAAATAAATATAATATCTAATATACTAAGTAGTCTTAGACTCTATATACTATATCTATAGAAGGAATACTATTACTGCTTAAAGAATACTAGAGGGGGGCTATATTAAATAATACTAGTTTATAAGAAATATATAAGATAATAGAGGAAGGGGCTATATGATTCCTAAAGGAGCTATATATATAAGTATTAATTATAGAATATATAATATTACTAGATAGTTATCTACTATACTAGGGCTATAAATAGGTCCTAGACTCTAAACCCTTATAAATATAGATCTTATAGGAAATATATAATTTAGTATTAATAGACTATCTAGGGAAGAATATGCTATACTTAATAATTATCTAAAACTTTAACTAGCTAGAACTCTCTATGGATATCTAATAATTTATAAAGAACTATAATAAGTATGATACTAACTATATATAGTATAAATAATATTAGGGACTATTAAAACCCCTACTAATCCTAGATTATAAGTAGTAGGAGATTATTATTAATTTTATTACTAAGCTACCTACTTCTAATAGGTACAAAGATATAATAGTAATTAATAATAGGCTTAGAAAGAATATAATCTTAGTACCCTATAAGTAAATAAACTCTAAGATAGTAGTATAGCTATTAATTAACTAATTTATTAGCTACTATAGTATTCCTAGCATGATTATCTTAGATTATAATCTATAGTTTATTAGTAAGTTCTAGGAATACTTTTATAAATAGCTTAGTATTTAATAATATCTTTTAATAGCCTTTTACCTGTAGATAGATAGGTAGATTAAATAAATAAATATAATAATAAAAGCCTACTTATAGAACTTCTATAACTATATCTAAACTAATTAAAAATTATTACTACTAATAGCCTAGCTTACTATTAATAATTAAGATACTATAAGTATAGGAGTTAGCCTATTCTTCTTAGATTATAGCTATAATATTAAGCTATTAGAGGTTAAAGAACTAGACTAAGAAGCTACTACTATTAATATAATCTATTTATTAAAAGCTAGGGCTAAGGTAATTATAGTAAAAAATAAGAGAAGCTACTAATATAGCCTAGTTAGAGCTAGCTATAATATAGTAGTACTAGGAGAAGTACTTAAACTACTCCTAACTATTAGATCTATAATATATAGTTAAGTTAAAAGTATAGCTAGACCTATAGAATATCTATATAGACTATCCTAGCTATAAGCTAGATATATAGTATATAAAGTTTATAATAGTTAAAGCTATTAGCTTATATATATACTAGTTAGATACTCTACTAGGGGTATATAATATATTTTATATTAGTCTTTTATACCCTACTATAAATAATCTATTCCTAAGATAATTAAATAGTAATTATTAGCCCCTAGCTATACTAGTTAACAGTAATACTAAATATATAGTTAAAGAGATATTATAGGAGTATAAAAAGTAGGTTAGATAAGGCTACTAGAAGGAGTATCTTATTAAATAAGTAGGCTATAAATAACCTATATAGGAACTAGCTATTAACTTTACTAATATAGTAGTACTAGATGCATAGGAGAGCTGCTAGCCTTAATTTAAAGAAGAGGGGTAGTATAGCAGGTAGGGCCTACTAGATACTTATACTTACTAGAGCTCTTATAAACTACCTTAGGTACTAATAAACTCCTATCTAATCTAGATAGTAGTAGTTATATAACCTTACTTATTATTTATATACCCCTTTTTATATTTGACTACTGCGGCCCTAGTTAGAGACTCTTCAGTGATTTCTTACTATCTGAATCTAGGTTATAGATTCATATGGCTTCTAGCCTGTGACAACCTACCTTATATAGCTAGTATGTATTTAATTTTTTAGAACCATACTAGGCATCTAATATATATATATATAATTATATATAGATATAGTATATTAGCCTAAATCTAACCTAGGTTAGATGTAATCTAATTACTAGGTATTTTTAGGTTCTAGAGCCTAGAACCTAAAACCCACCATGGGTTCTAGAAATTACTAATTAGAACCTAACCCAGCCCAAAGCAGGTTTGGGTCGGGTTGGGTTTGGGTTCTAGGGTTGGGTTTAACCAGTCTACTATATAGAATATACTAAGCAAGGAATTCATTCCTTAAGGGTCTTTTTTTAATAGTCTATATAGTATAGATTAACTTAATTTCACCATAGATGCATTTATATAGCAGAATAGGTTAGATTAATATATAATACTTAGGTAAATAGCTATCTTATAAGCATCCTCTATATTTAGATTTCTTTAGTTTTTATAGATATATAGCCTTACCACGCCTGGGTAACCTATTTAGATATAATAAGTTCTAGGAACTATTAATAGTAAGGTACCCGGGTACCCCTATAGAAATCTACTACTAAATATACTAGGTCATACCTAAAATTAAAAGAAATCTATTATCTAGAGATCTTAGGTTTATTTCTAGCTATTACTAATAAAGAAAATCTTTTTCTATCCCTAGACCCTAAATGTCATGGGCTGACCCTATGACGCGCACCGCATTGTGTATGCGGCTGTGGTCACATGGTTCCCTGTTAGTCTGCTGCCATGTCATCTTAGCATGATGACAGCCTGTATCTAGTTTCTTCCTTCCTTAGCAATTCCACACCATACCTTCATGGCCTATTGGGACGGCTAGAGTAAAACCTCGGACTGAGATATTCTAGCCCGTGACACTAAACCTAGATTCTTAGTACTAAGACCTGACCCCTAGATACCTTAGGTACTATATAAAAAAGTATAGATATCTAAGTACCCCTAAGCCTCAGGCAGTTGCAATAGTATATTATTATTATCTATACTATAATAATAATTACTAACTAGGTGGTTTGTGGCCGCTCAGGGACTGGTATAGTAAGCGGTATTAATGGTAAAAAAAAGTTTTAGCTGGTTTTGTTCGCTTAAAACTTCTCTAGAGACTATAGACAAATATTAATGTTAATTAGCTGTATATTTCGAGTATTAATATTATATTTAATCTCCCACTAGAGGAAGACCTAGCGTAAGTTCTTCCTAAAAGATACTTAATATTAGATATCGACCTTATTATAGTCAGGTAATTAGCCTTATATTATCTATCTATAGGCGTTAGATACCAATAAGTGTAATATTATTCCCAGAACAGACTAGCTATAGTAGTTTAACCTCTTATTAACTAACTAGTAAATAGATTAACTATTATGAAAGATTGGAGAATAGCAATATAACGTCTTGTCTATTAATCTCCGACTAATAGTTGAGATAGATAAATAAAGAACTTATAAACAAGGATCACCCCCGCCACCCCCCCAACAGCCACATGCGGAGTCCGATGCACACGGGACACGATCTCCGACGCCCGAGCCCCGACCCTGGCCTGGCCTCTTTTGCCCCCTTCCTTCATTATTATCTTTATTGACCTACGCGTTCCCCGGTGGAGAGACGAGAGGGGTCATTTCTTCACATCGTGGCTGCCTCTCGGCCCCCTAGTATCGCGATGAATGAGATGAAAGCAGCCTCCAGCGACTGCGCTGAGGAATCCAAGACTCCGGAGGCGGTTGACCCCCCGAAAGATGGCAAACCAGAAGAGAGCAGCCTGAGTCCAGCGAGATCCGCGGCCTCGTCCGAGCCTGAATATCCTGGACCGGTCCAGGTCGCCCTCATCATGACCTGTATCCTGTGCGCAATCTTCATCATGTCGCTCGTGAGTCGCAGGACTCTGACAAAAGAAGATTAGACAGCTAACCGTTGGACAGGATCGCACCATTATCGCGACGGCTATTCCCCGGATCACCGACGAGTTCAACAGTCTTGACGATATTGGGTGGTATGGCAGTGCATTCATGGTCACCGCTTGTTGTTTCCAGCTGCTGTGGGGCAAGGTTTATTCCTTCTACCCGGCCAAGTATGTCTTTCTCGCACTGGTCCTACTCTTCGAAGTCGGCTCGGTGATCTGTGGGGCAGCGCCCAACTCGATCGCCTTCATCTTCGGACGGGCGATTGCCGGGATGGGGAGTGCGGGCATCATGTCCGGAGCGATTGTGCTGATGATGTCGGCGGTGCCCTTGCACAAGCGGCCCTTGTATAACGGCTTCTTCAGCGCCGTCTTGGGAATCTCCTCCGTGGTGGGACCCCTGATCGGTGGCGCGTTCACAAGCAATGTCAGCTGGCGATGGTGTTTCTACATCAACCTGCCGATCGGCGGCGCCGCGATGCTCGTCATTTGGCTCGCTCTGAAACCCGCCCCTCCGCTGCTCCCCGGGCTGACGATCCGCCAGAAGATAGCCAAGCTCGACCTCTTGGGGGAGTTCTTCCTCTTCTCCGCCCTGATCTGCTTACTCCTCGCCTTGCAGTGGGGCAACAGCAGCTATCGCTGGGGTAACTGGCGGATTATCCTCCTTTTCATTCTCTTCGGCATCTGCCTGGTCACCTGGGTAGTGGCCGAGGCCCTCACGCAAAAGACGGCCACCATTCAGCTCCGGGTGATCAAGAACCGCAGCGTCGTGGCCGCGATGTGGTTCATGTTCTGCCTGGCGTCCACCATGCTGATGCTGATCTACTACCTCCCCGTCTGGCTGCAAGCCATCAAGAACAAGAGCGCAGTCGAGTCCGGTATCGACACCCTTCCGCTGGTCCTTTCCCTGGTCGCCGGCAGTACTCTGTCGGGCCAGCTGGTGGGGCGCCTGGGCTACTACACCCCATTCACCATGGCCTCGTCGTGCCTCATGCCCATCGGGGCCGGGCTGATCTCCACATTCAAGGTCGACTCCAGCTCCAGGATTTGGATCGGCTACCAGATTATCCTCGGCTTCGGAATCGGTCTGGGGATGCAGCACGCCCCGATAGCCGTGCAGACGGTGCTGCAGCCGCGGGACGTTCCCATGGGCGTCTCACTGGTCTTTTTCTGCCAGCAGCTCGGCGGGGCCATCTTTGTCTCGGTCGGCCAGAATGTCTTCGACCAGAAGCTGATTGCCGGGTTGACGAGTGTGGTCGACGACTTGGATCCGCAAACCATTGTCAATACCGGTGCGACCAACCTGCGCCATATCGTCCCCGCGGCGGATCTGCATGAGGTGCTGGTGCAGTACAACGATGCACTGCGGTGGGTTCTCATTGTCGGGACGATCATGTCCTCGCTCTCAGCACTGGGCTCGTTTGCGCTGGAATGGAAAAGTGTCAAGGGAAAGCATGGAGGGGAAGACGAGGAGGAGGAGGCCTAGTCGGTCAGCTTTTGGCGGGGGAAAGGGGACACCTCTCATAGAATACTTTAGTTTATTTGACTAGCAATTCTTCCAGTGTCTTCCTATGATGTCTTTCGTATTCGTAATAACACTGGGCTGAACATGCCGGATATGCGGGAATGAGACTTGAGACTCCAGTTGTAAATACCTTCATCAATTGGGGTTCAATATCACTGCTCAGTACTCCCCTCACTCGATCGATTACTTCTTCGCTTGGGCCGGACTCAACGACACCCACAGAGGCTTCTTGAACCATATTCCCCAAATCTTCTGATCAAGCCAATTGCCGTCTCCCATGCACCTCCGGTCCAATTCCAGATCGAAATGCCACAGCACGTTGGCCATGATTAGTCTAATCTCCGCGAGCGCCAGGTTGCGTCCCAGACAATTGCGCGTCCCCATACTCCACGGCTGGTAGACGGTCTTGTTGTCGCGTCGGAACTCGGCAGGGGCATCGTCGAGCCAGCGCTCGGGACAGAAGTCCAGGGCTCGATGGAAATTTTTCGGATCAAGGCAGGCGCCCATCATGGAGATGCCGACGCTGGTCTAGCAATCCACACAGCCCCGGGGACCCCTCGTCAGTCACGAAAGAGACTTTCCAAGAAAGTATGAGGACAGTCAAGAAGCGAGAGGACCTACATTTTCCGGGATCCATCGCCCGCACACCTGGGCACCCCCTTTGGGCGGCACTCGCTGACTATGCGTCGGCACCGGGGGATATAGACGCAGAGTCTCCTGAAACACGGCATTCAGAAACGGTAGCTGTCCAATGGACACCATTGTAATCTCCTCGGGCGTGGCAAAGGCGGCACGAATCTCCATCACCAGCCGTTGATAGGTGTGAGGATTCTGGAGCAGGAAGTAGGTCATGCCACAGAGGGTCGTAGCGCTGGTCTCGGAGCCGGCCAGCACGAGGATGCTGGCGTTGTTGAGCATCTCGCCGCGCGTCATGCCCTCCCCTGCCTGGTTGCCGTCGGCGCTCTTGATCATGACGCGGTCCCAGAAGTCGCCGCGCGTGTGGCCGCCCAGCGCCAGTCGCTGGGCGACCTTGGCCTCGGAGAAGCGGTAGTTGGCGGCGCGTTGCTCGCGGACGGTGCGCGAGATGAGGAGCGGGATCAGGAATCCCAGGCCGTACTCCAACAACGGACTGGACTGCATGGCGAATTTCACGGTCGCGGCGATCGCGGGGATCCATTCGTGCAGCTTCCCGCTGCGGAGCGAGTCGAAGGACTCCCCCCACGCGAGATCCCCGATCACATCGAAGACGACCATATTGTACCACTGTGTGAAGTCGGCGGTCTCATGTGCAGCGGCGACCGGGTTGAGCCGCGTGATGAGCAGGTTGACGTGCTGGTTAATCAGCCCTTCTTGGTCTCGAAGACCCCGTTCGGAGAAGGCGCCGGCCAACAAGCGGCGATAGCGCGAGTGATCGGCTTTGGGGGCACTAAGGATGTGCTGGTGGATGGGCAAGGAAGAAAACGTCAGTGAAAGCAAACCTAGAGAGTGCAGGAGGAGGAGGAGAAAAACCTCTAGCTTGTTTGGATTACGGCGTTGCCGGCGAGGATCTTTGGGAAACTCAGGGCGGTTGGGGTGGTGCACGAAGATGTCATCCCAGGCTTGATAACTCGTGTAGCTCAACTCGTTGGGCCGAATGCGGAGTACGTCGCCGTACTTCCAATGCAACCGGGCTTGGATATGCGTGCGGTCGCCTTTGATCTGATGGTAACACCACGGCAAGCTGCTCATGCGCCATAACAAGGGACCCGCGTACGAACGGAGTGGATGGAAGAACAGGTTGTAGATGGCGTTCACGATGAAGGAGAGAAGTACAGCGGCCCCCAGAGAAAGGCTTGCAATGGCAACGGTACGAGCACCAGGTGCCTCGAAGTCGCTTGGGAAGGACAACATGGCGGTGTCGCTAGGGTTCCTCCTCGCTAAGGTTCCTCCTGACAGCCGTCCAATACAGCCATGAATCAACGCCCTTGTGCGATTGCCTGTTTATTACCGGTTGGATCCAGGATCTGGACCATGCGACATCGTGCCATCGCTTGAGCACCGAACGAGAAGGATTCCGGACATCCGGTTTCGGACTTCGGGCAAGATCGAGCCCTAATGGCGACGGAAGAAGGGCCCTGCTCGGGGACAAGCATCGGTCCCTGGAGAGGGGATGCTCATTTCCCTTCGATTTATTGGACTTTTCTTTTGGGGATGGCACAATCGAAACTTTTAGCTCCTATTTAAGCTAATGGAATATAACATGGTCAGGGTTATAAAAGCCCGAACGGGTAGTCAAGTACTCGGACAGCGTTCAATCAGAACCAGTTGAGGGGCGAAGGCTTCGGTAGCATTCAAGAAAGCTGGTTGATAAGCAACTACCGAGAGCATCGTATAATAATGAGTCATATTTCCTGCAATTCACAATTTCCGAAGCCCCCCAGAGATTCTGGTCGTTGAACTTCCACCCGTCCGTCTGCCAACCTCTCCGTTCTCCTGTCATGTTGCACTTCATATGTTCTGCTTCACCCATACAAGTGCTGTTCTGCGTCCTGAAAAGCCTCTGCCCTCGTTTTATCATTGCTAGGGCGAACCACTGAGGCCAGATCCTTATTTCGTTGAAACTCATCCCATGAAGCCCACATCTCGGGGGAGACAAACCCGTCCATGTACGCCGCAATCTGATGAGCCCAGGTGAAGCCAAGTTTGGGATTGAAAACCACTGCTGCATCATGTGCCCAGGCAAAGTTGCCGTACCAAACCTTCCCGACGTGCTGTACGCAGGTCAGTTACAGTCAATAAAAGAGATATGCTCGCGTCGGAGGTATCACCTTGGTTATCTGGGTTGGGTCGTTTTGCTGCCACTCCTCAACAATTTGCAGGGATAAGAAATACCGATAGATCAGTGCCGTTACGAGATTTTTCATCTTCGGCACCGGATCCGACAGATACTGAAAGTTGTTGCAAATGATTCGAGTTTCTTTGTTGAACGCATCAGCGGCGACTTTGTCGTAGATAGGGAAGGTGCCGTAAAGACTTAGATGGACAGCTTCAAAGGATCCCTCGAGTTCGGCGACAAGAGCATACACCTGTGCTATCGCGGCTCCCAGACTATGACCGCTGAGATAGAGCACCTTCCCCTTCTCGCAGGCTTTAATCCGGCGCCGCCACTGGTCGAGCAGGGATTCCTGGTCATCAGTTTTCTGCGTGATCATGTTTGCAAGGCTTCTCTTGACATAGCCGTCATAGTCGATCCCTATAGATCTCAATGAAACAAGGTCGTCATGCCCATGGCTTCCAATAGTGCCCAGGAGACCGTCCTTTCCGGTACTGTGAGCAAAGTCCTTGGTCGCCATGGTTCCGCGTACTGCGGCTACGTAAGCTTCCAGCCCAGGATCGTAGTATAAGACGTCGTACGGGTCGCAAAAAGTTGTATTCTCTCGCGGTATCAGTATCTCCTGTCATAATGGAAAATTGGTCAGTAGATTGTTTGAGCCAAAGGGTTTTCAATCCAAACCTCAGCCATCGACTCCATTAAATAAATCTTAAACAAGAAGAATGAGGTTAGCTAGATGGTAAGTGTAAGTGAACAAAGGCAATCTCCAAACCTCGGAAGTTTTAAAAACGGTTGCCAGTTCCGGAAAAACACCCAGTGATAGTTGCTTTTTGGTTTTAAAGTGATCATCTCGTTGAAGGCGCGCGAGGAGGAGCCCCATCGACTTGTCTGCTTTGAGTGCATCCACGAATGCTCCTCCGACGAAGCGGTAGAACTTGACGTTTTCCCATCAGTCTTCATAAACAAAATATTTTGAGAGCTGTGCAACTAACCTTGTGCACGACACTTGCGCACAGCAGTGACTTCCTTCGCACATCCACCGTCATGTTGATGCAATTTTCTTTTCTTGATTTGACCAGGGGGGTAAAGGTGTACTTTGGAGTGAAGAGCTGGCTGTGTCTTTCTGCTTTATAAAGAGGCCGATTATGATAAGCCCTTCAAGAAGGGGCTAAAGTTGGCGATGGCCGAAGTTATCAATTATGCAGGGTGGGGCACACAGGTTGAAGCTGGTCATAATAGGCGACCTGGAGATGACGCTTCCCATAGCACCGAAGGAGATGACAACAAAAACATCTCATGCATAGATAGGTTCATGTGCCAGGCTGCCCTGAAAGGGTGTTGTAATTGGATTCGTCGAGTTTTGATACGCACGCTTTCCCGTAAGACTTGGCAAGAGGGAAAGCAATTGGCAGGGGCTAGATCTGCACTGGTTAATGCTAGCGACAGAAAAGTCTCAAAGAAGTCCTCGATGGCGTGAACTGGTTTGGAGTGTGAATGAGCATTTCATCATGCCGCCATTCCTCGGCAGAAACCTGTGGTGAAACCGTGAAACTCACGAGCCTTTCTGCCGAATCGCCACAAGTTCCCCTCTGGAGGTTTCCCTGCTAAGCACTAGAAAGAGCCAATCGGGGCCGGGATATAATGTGTTGGCCTCGCCTACAGTCAACCCGTATTACACATGGCGAATGAAACCGAATCGGATTTTACCGACAGGCACCCGCAACCGTTAGAACTGGCAGCAAAAAGCGAGGGATTCGGACCATAGATACGTAGTGTAATAGCAGGACATGTTGCTGTAAGCTACCAGACAGTTTATTACAGGTGCACGGACAAGCAGCAGTTCTATGCATGGGACTGAGTTAAAGGCTGGATTCAAGGCCTGCCACTATGATTAAAAATGCCTTGATTATTCCGGTCTTCGCGAGGGAGCATTTATTTTCTACTTACCTAAGTAGCTGGGGTATTTTCTATTAAAATCTAACCGACTTCGGACTTGAAAACTAAACTACCTGTTTCTGAGTGTATTAACTTGATAATTTTAAACCACGGATATTAACTCCACCTAGACTGGTCATGGATTGGATATGGATTGATCTGCATGATGTTTGATCCAACCCATGTGGATTATGGGTTGATCCATGACCTGTTCAACCCACCCTCATATCCATGCGGGTTGGACTGCGGATAATGGATATATCCATACTATCTAGTCAGGTGACCTCTAGTATTCAGATTACTATCTATTTTTCTAGTATTATACCTTGACCCCTAGGGTATCTATATATTTTATTAAATAATATAATAATTTACTATATGGATATAATATATTGCTATCTGCGCCGATCAGACAGACCAGATCAAGAAAAGACAGGTCATCTCCTACGAACTGCTTGTAGAGTGGTGAGATGATTGGGATATCCAGAGGAGCATCCAAATAACCGAGGACAGTATCGATGAGCAGCTTGGCAACATCAATGACGGTGGTGATGATGTTTTGCGCAGATTTGAGGACAAACTCGGCGAGAATGGCCATGATCTGCTGTATGACTTGCACTGGAGTCAAGTTGGAGAAGTTATCGGCGCAGTTTACCTTGATCTGATTCACCATATCTTGCACGTCGTCCCCTTCGTTGTCAAAGAAGGTTTTAAGGTCATCCAGGATTCCCGCTAGGGTAGAGGGATCATTTGTCGGCTCGCTGTAGCTCGAGGTCGCCACACCCTGGCCATTCTTCGTATGATGAATCGCCCAATTAGACTGAGGAGTATTATTCCCAGGAATCTGTGAACTTTGCTGCGCCAGTGATCCATTGCTAATTCCGGGGTCAGTCACTCCGCCCCATTCATTAAGGGTCCTGCTACAACGACACCGTCTACGTTCAAATGACACCATTTAAACCTAATTAGGCTAGCATTCCTATCATGTGACTGCTACAAAATGGATTTTCCAAGTAGTGCTTAGGGGAATAGGGGGTAAGGGCATCACGAATTCATGATTAACTATAGATGATCCTGTCTATTTTTATATCATCTGATCTACTTTAAATCAGCTAACCCTAGCGCCTGACTCTACCATGCAGTAAACAAATATTGTCAAAATATGGAGCAAGATTGCGGGAGGGGGGAAGGGATCGGAGGGGTTTGTTAATGTAGCTATGGTGGGCGAAACAGCAGGCTCACTATAGTTCTAATTCTGAATGACAGCCTCTGATTGGTTATATTCTGCGGAGTCCTACCTAGAAAATCCATTTTACAGTGGTCACATGATAAGAATGCTAGCCTAATTAGGTTTAAATGGTGTTGTTTGAACGTAGTGGGACCCTTCATTTACGGCTTGCTCAAGGTTAGTAAATGCGGTGTTGATATCCCCCTGCACAGTATCAATAGAGTTGACCACCTGGTTCGTGTACTGCTTGATGATGTTCTTCAGCACAAGATGCGTGCGCTTGATATCGCTCCAGTTAAAAATGAATCCCAGCCAAGCAACCAGCTTCTCAAAAGCCACTTTGATTTTGTTCAGGACAAACTCAATCGCACCGGAAATCGCGTTATAGCAATCCAGCACGGCATGGTAGATCTGATCCTTGATTTGAACCAGAAAGTGGTAGATGTCATCAGCCACCGCCACAACAAACTGCACCACCTCGTCCCACGCGTCTTTCAACCAGTGGAAGATATCCCCCGCAGCAGCCTCTAGCCAGTCACCAAAGTCCATGGGCGATTCTGGTGAAGCACCAGATCGCAATAACTTACCAGCACTAGCGCCTTCATGATACTTGAATCCATCCAAGCCACACGTCGCCCCCCAGACCAGAACGGGCTGTGATGGGTTGGACGGCGGTGAGATGGTTGAGCCGTCCGAAGGCAGCGTGTCTTTGACTTTCAATATTGATACTATTCAATTTGATATCCCTACTATATGAGAATTCGACATTGATACTATTTGATTCGATATCCTTACTATATGAGAATTTGACATTGATACTATTCAATTCGATATCCCTACTATATGAGAATTCGATATTGATACTATTTGATTCGATTCAATATCCTTACTATATAAGAATTCAATATTGATACTATTCAATTCGATTTGATATCCCTACTATGTGAGAATTTAATATTACTATTTAATAATTACTACTTTAATATTACTGTAGTGCGTGCAACTGTAGCAAGGGTAAGTGTGGTGAAATGTAATCATTATAAAAAAACCAAAAGTCCCTTTTGTACAAATAGTCCGCCGTAGTTATCGACAGTTCAAAGATAATACTAAGTTAGCCTTACTCTTAAAAAGGATTTTACTGCTGATTGTGAGATTCACAAATTGTTTCCAATCCAAGCTCGAGGCATGACCACTCTCAAATACGAACTGCACTATACCTGGGTAAGCAGGTACACCCATTTGAGCCCCGCACAACAGCTCTCTCTCAGGTTTTCAGCATTGCTTGACCTTTTGCATGCTGATAGTAGGTTATTAAGGCCCTACGCAGAAATCTTAAACATGTGAATTGAGTAAATTGCAAGGTGTGACTGTCAAGGTGCGGTCGGATTATATCTCAAGTGGGAACGAATGCTGACGAGGGCTCCATACTCGTGTTCGCCAAAAGACACACAACACGACTTCCGGATGTCTCGTAAAACATAAATAAAACAATTTAGTCCCACATGTAGCTGGCAATAAAATTCACATTTTCGAACACATTAAATCAGCACAAACAAGTAAGCAAGTTCCCTATGGGCGCAGTATATATGAAAATGTCTGCTGATTCTTATTAAAAGAAGACTTGCTTGATTCTACGGAGGCTTTTTCAATATAGACGAAGAAATGACATCGAATCAACGCCATGCCTCTTACTTACCTGCCCAGCTTTTCTCAAACCTCTGCGATTCACACTGCTCGCCTTCTGCTGCGGCCATTCAGAGATACAGACATCACTGCACTTTATACGCTTCGGACAGTCCCAGAGGTCATGCGTTGGACACGGCAGGGACGCATTGATTTGTCAATGGAGGAGACCAGGAGGTGGATGGACTTGTATATGTCTGGAAGCGACACGTGCGAAAATGGTACACAGGGGCGACTGAGCTACAATTTCGTCGTGGTCAAGAAAAAAGATCCGAATCTGAGCAATCCTACATTGTCATCGAGCACAGTGATAGGGGATGGGGAAGGCACTGTAATCGGTGTTTTGGGCGTTGTAGCTCTCTCCCCTTCAGGCGATCCAGAAATTGGCTACTTATTTCATCCTCGAGCGTGGGGAAAGGGATACGCGACAGAAGCGCTTCAGGGCTTCATTACAGCATGGTGGGAACTATTGCTTCCCGGGTCTTCCAGTACTCACGATTTGGAGGCGAACGAAGCGTTCACACTGTTTGCTGTTACAGAGAAGATCAACACAGCGAGTGCGAAGGTACTGACGAAATGTGGCTGGAGAGTAGTCGGCGAAGATACAGAAGATGAGGTGGAAGTTTTGCACTGGATGCTTCGGCGACCTGGTTCTTTAGGCCGCCAGAGCATCTTACAGAAGGACGATTGTGATAGTGAAGCGCTGATCCAAAAATGAGAAGAATTATGTATCACTACTATTGAACTCTATGTATACAGCACCTAGTTAACAATAAGCCCCCCCCTGAAATGTGTCTGGTTGTCCTAGATTCCCCAATGGTTAGCCTAAACATCAGTTCCTTTGACAGTGGGGGCGATTGAGCGCATCACCTTTACTATTAAAAAATTATCCTACTGTTGTCCAGTGTGCACATAGAGTTGAAGGAAGCCAGCTCCGCGCTCATTGGCTATTTGGCTACCTCGTCAATCGCAGACTCTGGAATGTTATACACGATATGCCAGAGTTTTCGCGAGTCCTTCGGTACCCAATTGTTGGGCGTATAGAAATTTGTGTATGCCGCATAGTCCAGCTCGAAGGTCAGTAGTGTTGTCCGTTATATCCTCAAAGCAAGACGCCATAGGCGACCCTGGATTCTGGATGGTATACGTGGCGGGATGAGCACGCTTCGCCTAGTCGTTGATATACTTATATAGGTCCGCATAATGGTTGTTGTCGCCACATTCTGGCCAGCTCTTGTCAAAGAATATGCCACTGATATTGCTACCATAGAGCGTGTACCATATATTGATATCTTCTTCAATTTAAGCGGTCCAATCCGCCAAGTCACCTAAGCCCTGTCTCATCAGAAACTTCTAATTACTCACACTAAGGTATTCAATACGCACGTAGCTGAGGACTGTTTTTCCAGAAGCTGCAGCTCGGCTAATAACATCACTCCAGCTGGCGTTGACAGTAGAGTCAGGGCCGTTCACAACATTAGCAACTAATATGGGCATCTTCTCCAACAGATACTCAATCAGCTGATCCCAAGCGGTGGGGTCTGTGAGTGGGTTGATGTACGAGGCCACCACAATCTGCTGCCTTTGCCGCTAGTTGCAACTGCTGCTCTGTTATCCGCCATAGTAGCAAACAACATCATGGCGTGCTTGGGTATACGCTGTTGTCTTGGGATGGAATGAGTGTAGTAGTGGGAACAGCACACTTTTAGTGTTGACGTCACTGGCAGCGCGAATGGCGTCTAGTGGCGACTAGAAGTCTGGGTACTTTTCAGCGCCGTCCCATTCCCATGGCGGTGTGTCATCAGTGGACTATATTATAGGAACTATCTTATTCTAGCCGGGGAAGACAAGTCAAGCAGTTACTGTGTGGGATTGACACTGTCCGTCTGCTGCAGCTGCGTTGGGATCACCAGGGCCTTTAGAAAGTGTGCTGAAGTGGTTATATAGTGACCAGAACCACACCTTGTATTCTGTCTGTTCCCTAGTAGCCCCTGCTTCACAGTAGTGGTGGCCCTTGTAAGCCCCTTGGAGGCCTTCCACATATATAATGCCTATTCTCTTGAGATCTTTAGCTGCTGTTTTGATGACCTCATTAGCCTCATGGGTCTTATTATTAAGCTGCTCGCGGAGCGCCTGGGTCAGCTGGCTGCTAGCTTATTAATAATGGCCAATACGCCCAGGTAATAACACTTCGCACCGGACGCAGCTCCTGCGGAGATGTTGTACAGCGTGAAGCCAAACTGCTTGGAGGTGAACCGCTTCCCCGCCACGACGAAGGCGCCTTCGTCGTGGCAGGTAGTCTGGGTAGTGGCTCGGGACGAGCCGTCCCATTATGTGGTCCATCTCCTCCTCCGCCCCCAGCAACGTTACAAGGCCGAGCGCGTCGATGCGTAGGCCTGTTCCCTCTGCCCAGGTGTTCAGGCGCCGGTGCCAGGGATACATGGCTGATTATGATCAAGAGTGACTACCAACCGGTAGTCATTCAACATATTAGTGTTAGTGTCATGAAGAGAGGGGCTGCAAAGGCCGTTTAATAATCAGTCATATCTGCCATCCGCAACACTCTGCCAGCCTTGGCCTCCTTTTTTTTTTTTTTCCTTTTGTGTTTGGGGGTAAGGAGGGTAGACCAGAAAACTGTATCGGAAGGAATTTAGCAATAACTGTTTTGCGCGGGATAACGGGACATTCCTGAGTGTCTTGCAGACGTACATAGAGGACGTACTCATGCAGGTAGACATTCCATGTGTCTTTGTACCTTAGGAGATTATGGTCGTTCCTTGAGCTGGGCTCTCAGCTAGGGGTGGTGTCTGACAAAAAATTTCAGAAAATGACAAAATGTCAAATATTTTGCTGTTTTTTTATGTCTGCAGATAAAAAGCATGTGATAAAAGTAGATACCTATTATAGCTAATTAGAAGACTAGCTTTCCTTAGCTAACTAATTAGAATATATAGATTTTCTAGTCACCTAACTTTCTGCGAGAGCCTCTAAGATAATATAATAACTAATATAGTATTAGTTGACACGGTGAGCGGGGGGCCAGAAATGGCTCCCATTGCACCACCCGTCTGCTGCTCCTGACTGCCTGCCCGTCTCTGCCGTCCCCCTTCCCGTCCGGGTATGGCATCCTCCCCCTGGCCCCTGTTTGGGTTTAGTGCTGTCCCTAGCCGCTTTACTGCCCTCCCCATCTGCTATCTAACTATAAAGACCCCTCGTCCTTCCTCCTCTTCATCAACATACTTTCACTTCTCTTTCCCCCTTCTTCCCCCCCTCAACCCCTTTCTTTCTTGGCCCCACTGTCACTTTGCACATTGGTTTTTAGCCCGATGCACTGCCCCTTTTATTTCACCAGAGATGCCGCTCCATCCGGCCCCGTGGTCATTCTGGCCAGTGTTGGCTGCAATGCCATCCAGTCACCCAGGATCGCCCAGGAGCAGAAACATGGGGCGTGATCCAGTCCTCCACCGCATTGTGTGATTGCGTGCCAATGCTCTTTTTCCCGGAAAAATTGCCTGGAATCCTGCTATAAGGCTATTTTGATTACCTTTTGCTGGTTTAGCCTTTAGATTGTGTGTCTCTGTGACTCCGCTGGCCTCCCTTATTATGATCTCCCTGATTACTCTCATTGATGCTCCATGTTCCGCTTCATCAGCCCTGTCTAATATTCCATCAGAGGTTATATTTCATAGCTGTTAGTATTGCAGATCTCCTCATAGTAGCTTGTTCCCAAGTGTCTTAACCTTTCAGTTATCATTATTATTAGCCTCTCCAGTCCATCCTCACCTAATTAATGAATCTCAACAGCATGCCATGGTATGTAAGCTAATAGCGAAAATACTGCACATTTGCCAGACCCCCGCCAAGGCTGCATTATGAGGTCAATGCCTGGCTGGGCTGCGGCAAGACCCCAGGATCACACTGTCTGGCGAATAGAGACATGGCTGGCGACGGCCCTGGGCATAGTATTGGTTGAGAGCCATTAGCAAGATTGGTAGGGATTGTTGCAGATGCCCTAAAGCCTCGCAGGTGTGAGACTCATGTGATCTTGCAACTTTGGATGCATTGGGATAGGTTGCAGGAGCTGGTTAGTGTCTTCTGTGCTATGAAGTAGGTGGATTATGCATTACAGCCTATAAATAAGAATATAATTCTACCTAAATAGTAAATCTATAACCTAACTCTCCTAAGTTCCCCCACTCCTTCCCTCCCACTATGCTGTCTCTACTACCCCAAGTCCCTGTATCTCTATTTTACGAGCGGCCCCTAATTCCTATATCCTATGAACTTATTCTCCCGCTCTTTTTTGCAAGTATGTCAAGCATTAGCTTTTGTCAAGAATCTTTCTGGCTGTGGAATCCTTTCCAGGACAAGGCGCAGCCTCCATGGGATTCTCTTAATATTTGTCACTACCCAAGTCCTGTCTTGATCACTGCCACCCCGCCTCCCTCTAATTCTAGCAACCCAGTGTCAAAGAGCCAAAAAGTTCACTCCCTCAACTCCAAGCAGCATCCCCTTCCTGCCCAGCCGCCAGTGGAGGTCTGCTCCGATGGCGGTCTACATTCGGACTCTCAAAGCACTCAACATGAACCGGAGGATTTGGGGCAAACAACCTCTGCTGATATTTACCCAGGTGTTTTTGACTCTGAGGAAATTTGGCAGTCGCAAGACTTGTCAGTCCCTGAGAACGTCAGTTCTGCAGCAATATCCGGTTATATTCGTCCGGGCGCTGAGCATCAATTCCCCATCCGTAGTGAAGATCTTCCAAGCAATGAAACCATTGATCCCGCAATCCTGAACGATCCTGCCTTTCCAGGTAGTGGGCAGATCAAAGCAATGGAGAATGTCACTGCTATTATAGAATGTCTAGGCAGATGTCCCTCAGAGTGCTCCTGCTCTCTGAATCAAGATCCATCTCTCCAATGCAGCAGACATAACACAGAGAGGATGGAGAGTTCTCATCACTAGTTCTCTAAACCTAATAATCAATCAAGTGCTGGAATGAGATAGTTAAAAAATAGTTCTGGTCAGTCCACTAAAGGGCCTGGCCATCATAAACACATTTCCTTTACTACTATTCATGCTTAATTCTCAGCCCTTCCAGTGGAAGATTAGCTATAGTTCCTGTCCTAGCTATTTAAGGGTGCTTTATCACACTGTGTTTCTATATATGCTAACACAGATACCGCCTCCATATCAAGATACATCTCAAGCCAAGATGTAGATATGACATATGACTATGACACCACAGGCTCAAGCACTGATCTAGTTGATTCACATCCTACAAGAAAAGGCTTATCATGGTCCATGGAAGAAAAGTATTTATTAGTGGACCTCCGCGAAGAACAGAATCTTGCTTGGTCGGAGGTGACAAGACTGTTTGCATAGAAATTCCTTAGAAGGAGCAAAGGGTCCCTACAGGTATACTGGAGTACAATGCTCAAGAAACAGTGGCTCCCCTTAACAGATTTCGCGTAGAAAATGCCATCTTTATCAACTATGCCATACCTTCTTCTCTTGCACTTAAAAGTACTCCGTAGTCTTCGGTGATGGTGAATTACGCAAAAGAGTTTAGCGTGCCGTTTCGGGTTTAGCGCCTCCCTGCGCGTTACTATCGCCATGCGTGTTTCTATAAAGTCCCCTTCATCACCTCTTCAACTTCTAGCTGTTTTTTTGCCCTTCTACCCTTCCTTCCTCTCCGTTCCTCGTGTGCGCCTTGCGAGTGAGGCATTTTTTGCCATTGATCTGGATCACTGAGCTCCGCCCCCCCGGTTACCGCCAGCGCGAACCGGCCGGCCCTTTGCAGCCCTTTAAGCCCATTTTTGCCCTTGGTCCGCTGCGCCGACCTGCAGTTCTGGCCCCTGACCTTCACATGTCAATGGGTCTGTCAAACTGCAGCGCATTTGGGCGCGTTCACCCCACACTCTTTTTGGATAATGCTCCGTTCGCAGCGGGCGCTTCAAATCTGCCCTGGGGCCGCAAATCGAGTGCGAGGGTGATGTCGGCCTTGGGTTGATAGCGTCCGGATCATTCGCAATCGAGGAAGACCGCGATCGAACTGGTCAGTTATATGAACGACCAGATCGTCTCAGGTGCTGTACGCATCAGCCAGTGGTCGCTAAGTTTACAAGAGTTGATGAGACATAATAGTCACACCCTGTCCTTTCACGATAATCGTAAGGCTTCATAGCAGCCGGGTCGATACTCTGGGACGATATCTGAAGGCGTACCAGGCGACCTCGTCCGGCCGTGTGCAAAAACGTCAATTTCCGTCGACCTATACAGTTCCTCCTGCCGTCGTCCGCATTCCGGATCCTACCCCAGCCCCTATCACCGAGTGTGCCTTGTCGCCAAAGCCCCGTTAAATTCATGATCGATTGGCGGAGATGATGGGACCGGAGGGGATAGGAAAACAAGGGTTTGGTTCTGCAGGACGAGCGCCATGCGGACTGGAGACGATAATGAAGCTATTTTCTCCCTGTCGGCGCGTCCGGCGCGTTTTGTCTTCGGGTCTATGCCATGGAATGACTGGCACGCAGAGTTCAATCGTTCTGGCGGTGGCAGCCGGATGTAGGCGATGCCGGTTCCCCAGAATAGCAACAGCGCCATATAATGTGGCTATTGGATCAATTCGATGAGCTGGCGAGTCATTCGTGCGGTAGTGCCCTGCACGGTACATCAGTCAAAGAATCGATTGGCGCAGACAGTTCTCGTCTGGATACCATCCTGCCGGAGCATTTTGCTCTCTGAGCTTGAAACCGATCCTGGCATGCCTACCTTGCAGGCTGGAACAGGCGTGGATCGGTCCGACGAGAGGTATAAAGCCATGTATTTCGCCCGCCGACTTGGTGAAAGTCCAGTCAAGAATCCAACTTCGCCTTTCTATTTTATCCAAGTGCTCAGTTTTCTCCACATTATTCAATACCTATTGGAGTTAGTCTCTTGTACTGGTCGTAGACAATATGACCTTTTTTTACAGAGAATGAACACGAAATATTCAGTAAGAGGTCTTCTACAAGCATGATTGATTTCACTAATTTAATAACCCGAAGCTTCAACGCCGACTTGGCCATGTGAATGGCCAGAAGTGGTCGTGTGCGACTCTATGGTTGTCCCAGAGTTAGGCACATACGCCAATCCTATAGTTATCGGAGATGATCTTGCTCCGTTGGGCTCGGCTTCCAATCCCATCGTGATCCAGGTTGACGAGGGTTGGTGCCGCGAAGAACCAGACCAACTTGGCTCCGATGCCGACACTGAGATCATGGCTACACCGGAATTTTGGGAGACGTTGACCGGTGCAAACTTCGCCATTCCGGTGAAGGATGATGCTGCTATCGATTCCGCTGTCAGTGTGCCAATCGGATCTCTAGTCCGTGAGGATCCAGAAGCCCTTCAGCCATTCAAGCAGTCAACTCTCAACGGTTTTCAGTCGGATGACAAAGCATTGAAGGTCATGGAGAATTCACTTGATTCGTCGCGAGAAAGCCCGCGTTTTAGGGCTGTAAGGAGGGAGAGTGTTGTGAGTGACCATAGAGGTGCGCTAGCTAACAACTATTGAGACTATTATGCTAAATATTACTAGAAGGCGAGCAAAGCACGGAGCATGGCAAAGCTTCTAAAACTGAGGAACCCAAGGAGGATCGCAGTGTGCCTCATACTTCTTTGATGACCTCCAGCGCTGTGCCACAAGAAATATCAATTCAAACAGATACTTCCTTTGGGAAAGGCCTCTCATGTGCCTCCTTTGATATAGGATCTACGAAGTGCAGACTATCGCATGAAACAGTGGATAATATCAATCGAATCAAGTGCTTGGGCAAATCTGCCTCGACTTGGAGTTCTTCTGTATCTACTGCCATTAGCGATGAACTAGCGGCGATCCACGATCATATGGAGCACTGTCGGAGTGCCGATTGTCTACAAGCGAAAGCCTTTTTTGATGGAATTCAGTCCCCTCGTAAGTGATTCCGCGTCATACACGATCGATTCTGGTCGCTGAGACTTTGATTTTACAGAAAAATCGCTGTCAAACAACTCAAATAGGTCTAAAGCGCTACAAGGACAAAGCGAAGAGGCCCGTGTGACCATGCGATTCCATGTCCCAGATTTCCAGAAGGGGGCTACACGGCCAATGGAATTTTTAGTCGACCAAATGATCATTCGAACCGCCTTCTTTTCGCCAGATATACCTTGCAGCCTAGAGACTTTCAAGCACGACTGTATCCTCTTCGGACGAGGTGCTGTGATCGTTTCTTTGGATGGAGAAGACACAAAATCCTTCCTCACCTTCTCTCCTACAGCTCTCCCGGATGATCACGGTACTAATGTCCGCAGATTTCGAAAAAGGTCAGATGGGATTGTGATATTTGAATCGGTCATGCCAGAATGGAAAAAGGAAGCCAATTGGCGACACAACTTCACCGGCCGAATTTCTATTGAACTTTATAAAAGGTGGCCCCCTTTAGCGTCAGAATATGAGGAACGAGAAGACTGCTTTGGAAGTATTGTTCTGAGCATCCACCCGAATGGGGTAGACCCAAAATGCTTCCTCACCTTCTCTTCTGGACTATCTTCAGCCGATCACAATCCTCATTCGCCTACGCCTGATAACGACGTACGTGAACCTTCGATGACCACTGACACTATTTCTCTGGAAACAGTAGATCAAGCTGGTACTTCTGTTGGGAAGAACCTACCGCGTAGCTCCCATGCGGGATCAGTGAAACGCAAATTATCACAGGATGGGATTCAATCTGAACTCAGACGATCGGAGCGACTGGCCAGAAGAGCTCGAACTTGACAGAGATAGTTGCTCTTCCTCATGTATTCATTTATTTCAATCCAACAATGGCAAATACGAACACCAGAATTTTCCCGAAATCCAACATTGGCTAACAATCAGCAATGCGCTGAAACATGTCCTCGGGCCTAGTAAAATGTTGAACGCAGCAGGGTAGGTAGATCCTCGGGAAGAGAGAAAAAGAGTGTGATCCTCCAAAGTAACATTCCATGAACCAGACCACCGGTGGTGGCGCACGGCTGGTGTCTGTCCATCCTACCTACAAAATCGTATATTCACGGTCAGCCAATAATGGGGTATCAAACGCCGTAATTGCGATTGAGACTGGGGTACGCTTCTGTCCAATCATTTACCGCCGAGGAAAATAGCGTCGGGCCAGAAATGGTCTTGGAGATAACAATGGCTACTTGTTTTCATTTACTCGACCATCCAAACAGAACCACCAGAAACCCGAATTTTCTCCTGGCGGCAAACAACTGGGTAGGAGGGCCCTGCCAACTGATTGGAAGACTTGCGGGGGCCAAGGCTGATGCGAGCATGATCGATTGGCGGAGACGATCATGATGCACGTGGGAAAATAAGGGTTTAGTCATGGACGACGTATATCCGAACAGGCCAATTGGTAGATAGAAACGCTAGATAAGAGGGTGAGCCGAGGGTGAGAGCTTTACATGCTAGTACAAGGGAGGCTGCTCGTCTAAGTCTTTTCGTATGCCATAGATATCATCGTCAGTCCTCCGTACTGAATTTCGCTCATGTTGTTCCCAGGCCTGTTTGGCCGGGCAGTCATGTGATATTTGTATCATGTGACATGAATTTTGTTTGCGCCCCCTTTTAAACGTCGTGCTTTCCTTTCCCCAACCAAGGGCACCTTCGACATGTTTCCATACATAGTTAATCGATTGTCGTACCTACAACAGTTGCTCATACACTTCCTATTCCAGCCCTTCGGCTTTTTCTCCCGCATAATCTCCCCTTTCATACAGAAGCTCACATGTGCAAACAAAAGTCCCAACGATCTCGAGTCCAATATCCCTTACGACATCCGAGAAGGCCCTTCTTCAAGATGTGAAACCTACACTGTGCGTTTACAACCTCAATATGACCTGGACATCTTAGGCGTTGGAGCTTCTGGCCAAGTCTACAATGTTAGCGACCAAATTGTTCTCAAGACTTGTCGAATTTTCGCACCACCTAGCAATGATGCCACTCGAAGCGACCTTTGGCATTACGCTTCAGACACACTATTTCACTTTAATTTATTGAAAGATGAACGAATGGTCTTGCAGCAGCTGCAAAGCAGACCACATCCCCACATCATAGAAGCCATTGATACCGATCAGCCGGAAGGATTATATCTCCGCAAATATCGACAACTACCTGTGGATGTGAAATCAACACAGGCTCGCCGGATCAGATTATACCGCGATATTGCCGATGCTCTGCGCCATCTCCATAGCCTCGGTATTGTGCATGCGGATGTAAGGGTTGATAATGTGCTTTGTGACGATCGGTTTTCGGCGATTCTTTGTGATTTCAGCGCTGCCAGCCCTTGCGGCCATCCCAATCCGGTCTTCCCTGATCTCCCACTTCCGGTTAATGGCCCCTCGCCGGTTCTATCCGAGGCATCCGACATGTTTGCACTAGCTTCGCTCATGTTTCATATGGAGCATGGATTCACACCTGACCTGTCACTTGAGAATGGGAGGCTAGTTTTGCCTGAATTGAATTCAGGGAACCAAGGCATTGATGAAGTCATACAGACAGCCTGGCTGGGAAATTACAGCTGCTCGTCAGATATGGTACATCACCTAGCTTATATTGATTCCCAGATAAATCATTCCGCTGAAAGCACTGAGTTACTCCCTGACGTCGAAGGTTTGAAGACTCAGGTCATGGATTGGAAAAATCACCGAAGACATAAATTTGGTAGGGCAGACCTTCCAGATTCTAGAACAAGTTCTTTTTGTCCGCTGACTTGTCTATTAAGGACGCGTCCTCGAAGGGATTCTTTCAGAGGAGCAATTGAAAGTACTGGCTGAACGATATGATATGGATCCAGATGCAGATCTACGGTTTTCTCATTACAGCTTACCTCCGTTATTGAAAGAGTGTGATGTATAACAGGACTTCAAGATGGTTCCTATGGATGTATTTTCCTAACTTGCTTTCCACTGATGGTATCATCGGTGATACAACCGGCTTAGCCCAGGCGAAAGACGGCCGCTCTGCTCATAACTCATGTCAACCGCCAATTACGGGTACGCTTACTGGGAGACACTTACGGGTGCTGGCGTCAGTGACCGTTTGATGCTCCCCGGCATTTCAAGCATTTATCCCGCCGGTTATGAGAACTTCCCATGGGAACTTCCGGCCAGGGCTCGGCGTGATTCTCAGGGCATGGATGCGGTTCTCGTCTCACTTCCCGGTCTCCGCAAGTGAATATAGTTGTAGTAACCCAGATTTAACACATAAGCTTTCTTAAAGAATTAGCTACGAGACTGGCCTGGCTAGTAGGAAAGACTCACAACGTGACGAGGTGGCATGATGTGGCGTAAATGTTGGTGTTGATTCAGAAGAAAGAGAAATACCAAATGTTAAAACAGTGCCAAAGCTAGGGCTTAAGGTCTGGTTAGGATCACATTCTTATAGTCCTGCTGTTCACTGCTCGCTTTATTTTATATCGCCCGTTCTACGTTTGGCGGCAAATAACTGGCTGGGAGCTTGCTTCGCAAATCTAGCATATTTACCCCACCTTCTTGGTTACAATTGCAACACATGCTACTAAGTTACTGGATCTCAGTTGCATCAGGACAAAGGCTGATGTGGCTGGCCAGGGTCAAACCAAGAAGAGAGGCTGCTGAGAGTGCTTCGCCAACCAACGTAGCTGCCCGAGATGACAATGTGAAAGTTCATGCATTAGTGCGAGGCTGAGATGTTGCCTTACACAACAAGGCTATTGCCCTGCTTTCTCAGGGCGCATTTCCAGCAGCGTCTCCTACCAACTTAATACCAGTGGTTGTGAAGGTCCGCGCGCAAGGCTGACACAAGAAGCCAGGTGTGGAGGATCCTTCGTGGCCTAGTTGAATAGGGTCTCACTTTGTCCTGGCCTCTGTGCTAATGTGCGAGGAGATCGAGAAGCTTGCGACTTTCCAAACCATGATACCTGGAGAGATAAAAGAAGGAAAAGAAGACTGTGAGAATGGTTTACGTCGGTTAAGAAATCTCCCCTGTTACAGGATGAATGAATTTGATTTGGTAAATTGAAACCAGGCACTAATTTTGGCTCCATTCCTTTGCGGGATGTGAATTTCCTAATTTGGGTTTGCGCATATATGTGCAAAATCCCTATCAGGCATTGAACTATGTGCGCGATGGGCGGCAAAAGCTGGATCATCTCACCAATCACATAGCCCCGTCTAAACGGTGGGGCTTTTTTTACATTTTACTATAGATATAAAAAAAAGAAAAAAAACCAAAATTACAAAAAAAAATGTCCTCCAGCCCAGTCGCGATATTGCTCAGACATGGTTATCCAATAATAGAACCTACCTCTAGTCGGACGTTGGCTAAGGCTAGCTGGCGAATTGAGATTACTTGTCAGCGTGCTGTAGACTGCCTTGGTTGCCACATTTATGAGATAGCCCGCTTTACCAAGGGTATATAAGGAATATATGCCCAGGTACTACTACATTAGGACAAAATCTCTATTCATCCTTGTCCCGAAACTCCAACAGCCATGTCTAATTGTCAGTGTTTATTCCCATTTGAAGGTAGTGACAAAGATTACATAGCCTATCTTGAGGCTTGACTCTCAGCGGCCTTAAATTGAGGACCTAGCCAGAATGTTAATGACCCTGTAATCTCTCTATCTAGTGCTCTGGTAATAACTTCCTCTGATTTACAAGAAAGGCTTTTAGCATTAGTAAGCTCAGATTCATAATCAAAGCTTTCTGTAACAGCATCCTTGGATTTGCAAATATGCTTATCTGGAGCAGCACCTTTGGACTCTTAGTGTTGTGATTATTGGAGTGCATGTTTAGTCTTTCAGGCTTCTTCTCTAACTAGTCCTCATTCATCTAAGCCTCCTCCCTTGTCCACTCAAGATGATCTCAGGATTGTATACTATGACCCTATTGGGAACTGTGACCGCCATCTTAATAATGCCGCCTCCTTACTCCCTTCTGTCAAAAGAACACTGATTGTTAAGCCCCAAGGCATGAAGGAGCTCAGATATTTCATTGAAGGTCTTACAGGAAATACCTGTTGGGTTAAGAAGAAAGCGGAACTTGGATTATCCAGTCTAGAAATAAATAGGTATATTATTGAAGCGCTCTGTAGTTGACTGTTAACCTTAGCCCTGTGCAATAGGCCTTATTTATACCCTGATAATTGCCTACTGGAATAAAAGGCCTTGATTTTGTAAGGGTGTGACTATGGTGCATTAATAAATGAATGAAGATTGCATGGGAACCTACTCCTTCACATTACCAAATACTAACAACTCATATTTGTGTCCCTATATATCATCATGCTGGATACTAGAACTCCTATTAATACTGTGGACTAGATGATGTGGTATTATGTTAGTGACACCTCTGCAGCAAATCTCTGGCAACTTCAATATAGATGCATGTGGGTTAATTGTTGCATATCCAAGTTGCTAGACCAAAACTGGGGGTTTAGGAGCTAGGAAGTCTTCCTTTTATGTTAGTGTTTTCTGTCCTGAAGTGGCTTCTTAATGCTGATTATTCTAGTTCCTCAGTCTATCTACTCTTATTATAAAGAAATAATGGTGGAGAACACTTAATAATTACTAAATAATTAGTTAAAATTCAGTTAAAAAATTACCTCTTCTAGTTTAGTACCCTATTTCTATTTACTTAGCCTATAAAAGTTCTGCTATACTTCTTATTCTATTATCTCCCTTCTCTATATATCTATAAATATCTTCTTCTCCCTTTCTACCTCTATAAATATATCTCTATTATAGCCTTACTGCTGTATCTATTATATATAGAAGCCTACTAATTTATTTAGCTATAGTTATATATATAATAATTATACTATATAGCCTTCCTGCTCTTACTACTTTTATATTTTATCTACTAATATTCTTCTTACAGACCTATTCTAAGAGATTTTATTTTACTCCTACTAGTATATATTTATTATCTTCTTTTACTAGCCCTTCTTACCCTATTTCTCCTGCTGCTATGGTTTCTATATCTACTTAACTATATTATTATAGCTATCTACCCTAAGAATGCATCTTATATATACCTATATAACTATAATATAGCTATCCTTATATATATTCTATTACTCCTAAGCCTTAACTAGTCTATAGCAGCTACTCTTACCTATATACTATAACTCTAAAGCTCTTATCTATCCCTATAGCCTATTTCTTCCTACTCCCTCTTATATTTTGGTCTTACTATAACTATTAGAATATCTTAGATCTAGGCTATATAGAATATACCTACTACTACTATAAGGCTCTATATTAGATTATAAAGTATAAATAAGATTCTTCTATTACTTCTTCTATCTTTATAAAGTACTACTTATAGAGTAAAGTCTAATTAGAGCTATTTTATAGCCCTTCTTAGTCTTTATATTTATATCTTATAGATATTACTGCTGAGGTAGCTAATTTTTAATATTATATTTATTACTATAATAGTGCTCTATACTTTATATCTATAAACTACTATATATATATATATATATTATTAGTAATTATATTCTATTCTAGATTTAGGGTGAGCTTTTCCACCTATATAGATTATTAGAAGTAGCTAAAGGTACTATTCTAGTATTTATATAGGTATAGTTCCTAGACCTAGAGTATATAAATATAGTCTATTTAGATTAAGATAGTAATCTTAAGGGTAGAATTCTCTTAGAGTTAATATATAAGTTATAGCTATATAACCCCTAGATACCTATTTATATAATAGCCTATAAGTAGCTACTTTTTATCTAGAATTAGTCTACCCCTATCTTAATTATACTATTACTAGAGTTATAATTAATTATAGAGATTAGTACTAACTATTATTACTTAAATCTCCTAATATTAGCTAAGGTTATAGCTATTATTCTAAACCTTAGTTAAGATTTATAGCTTATACTTTAACCTAGTACTAATTAGTCTTATATAATCTATATTAACTCTAGTTACCCTTTATATATACCTCTTTATTATATCTTAATTTTCCTAGATAGAATACCTAGCTAGGGTTATAATATACTACTAGTTATACTATTAGAGTATAGCTTACCTATAGTTATACCTGCTCTAGACTATTTAGCTAACTATATAGCTAATAACTATACTACTACTAAGGCTGGTGCTGCTACTAATACTATTAAAGATGCTCTAATTCTAGATATAGAATATATTAATAAGACTTAGGTAGAGAAAGTAGGCTATCTTACTCTCTATATATAGTATATATTCTATATCTTTATATAAGTAGATACTTTTAATATAGTCTATTATACTATATATCTATATTAGTAATTCTTAGTTAATATAGGTGTAACTATTAAGCAGGTATACCTAGCTTAATTTATCTACTATTAGGATGAGATTTATATAGACCTATATAATAGCCTTATAGATACTATAGATACTAATAAGGCTAAGTTTAATAAATTTATAAATAGTATATTAGATTACTATATTATCTTATCTTCTTCTTATATTAGTAGTAAGTAATATATAAATACCCTCTACTATAATACTATAATAATTATAGCCTATTATAGCAAGCTAATATTCTTTATTATATTTATAGCTAACCCTTAATAGGCTGAGATCTAGTAAGTATTATATCTAGGCTAGGATATTAAGGACCATCTAGATTTAGTTATATATATATTTAAGCTAAAGAAGAGGGTTCTATTAGATAATATCTTTAAATACTAGGTATTCAGCCTAATCCAGAGATATATTTAGATAATTAAATATTAGAAATATAGACTTCCCTATTTACACCTATTAGTCTTTATAGAGGGTAGTAAATAGTTCCTTAATCTAGATATAATTAATAAGATTATCTAGGCCTGTTTCTCTATAGCTATAGAAGACCTAACTAGTAAGCTATATACTATTATCTAGTGTGTAATAGTCTATAGCCCCTATAGTAATCTAGATCCTACAGCCCTGTATATAGAGGTAGATAAGGCTATAGGTATATACTATTATACTAAGGGCTTCCTAATATAGTATATAGACTAAACTATTATTAAGGAAGATGGTTACCCCCTTTACTTTTAGCCTAATAATCTAAATATGGCTTTTTAGAAGGAGATTAATAGTTATATAGTTACTATTAATAACTATTAGGTTATATCTTATAGTCTATTTTTCCTGAAGTATTTTAATGCTTATATTAATATATAAATATGCTAGTTAATTAATGCTATTA